AAAATTCTGATATTCGATGCTCTGGGAAAGAATGGTTAGTGGCATCGTGAGTTGTGCGCGTCCGATGAACTCTGATGAATCTGTCGCTGTGTGCTGATGTGTGCTGCTGCTAATGAGGGGCATCCATGCACTTCGGAGGCAAAATGCCTGAGAAAGCGAGCGAGGTTCAAAACCACAACCACAATCAGCAGCATCACTGAAACCAGTTTAAAACTCGCGGTCGCAAGGCATTGGGGGGGTCGCAGGGCATTTCTGACCCCAGGTATTGGATTCAGGGGGGGCCCGTACGGGGGGGGCCGCAAGGCATTCCACAGGAGGGTTTATATATATATATATATATATTATTTTTTATGGTGTGCATCAGTACATGTATCGAGGAGATATGACATGTAATATGTTCTTTGAAGTTATTTGTCTGTGTATTTGTCGATATTTATTTGAGGCATCTCTGGCCCAAGTGCTTAGCTGTAGGGTGTTGCCCTCGATTACGAGGCCGGTTGGTTCGAGCAAGCCATTGTGCGTTGAATTCACAGGGGAGTGCAGGTTGTGACTGCGCATGGGGTTTGGGTTTAGGGTTTAGGGTTTAGGGGGTATACCTTGCCCTCACGTGCTGCCGAGATCAGCGGCACGGCAACGCCAAATCCGAGAACCATTGGTTCACAATGCGAGAAGCAAATCGGGAAACCATCCCTACCCAGGCGGGTCTGGACATCGGCGCTTCCGGAGTCCAAACGATCCGAGGGACGACGAATTACGACGATGCTTGTGCCACTGAAGCATTGGAGCCTCCTTCGACAAACTTGTCTTATGACGAGGGGCTGCGGTGCACATGCCCTCATGCCCACCTCACCTCGAAGCTTCAGCTCGGTGCCTGATTTCCTCAACCTAAAACCCTCAGACCCTTAAGACTTTCGACCCTAAGCCGACGAAGGTATCGACGACAACTGCGTCAGGTGCTAGCTGTCGGCGCGTATCATAAACATAGCCAGAGAATCTGGAAACTCCGCGTGGTCTTACTCTAAGAAAGCTCTCACAATTTCGGACACAGCAAGATGAGGGGCTAGCGTTTGAGGGTTTATGCCGTTAAACTACGAGTGGTAGCTAGCTTCAAGCTAGCATGTAAACAGGTTGGGCCAGTGTTGGAAGAAGCAAGAATGACGAGGATAACGGCAGTGAGCAAAGGCGAACCACAAGCTCAAGCAGCTGTGGGTACAGCCGAAAACCACAGAATCTGCAAAACCGCCCTCCCCCACCCAGTGCGAGTGGAAGCAAAGGATGCTGCAATGTGTGCCACCTCTCGGGGCCGGGGATCTGAATTTCATCGTTTGGTGGTTTAAGGTTTCAACAGCTCTGAGATAATAAATAAACACGCACAGCTCGAAAGTCATCCGTAACAGCACCTGCCAGGAATCCCCTGACGATGAGGTGTGCGAATGGCTGCCTGCTTCAAACAACGTCATGCTTGGCTCGCTACCGTCCAGGGTTTAGGGTGCCGACGGGTCCTGCATGTCATGCTGTGATTTATGGGGCTTTGAGTTTTACCCAGGTTGGACTTTCACAACTCCCACGTTTTGTACGCTTTACGCTCTCACAACTCGGACAAGCCAGGCGAGGTAGGGTGTCGACTCTCGCGCAAGGCCGGCAAGGCTCCGTGTAGGTACCTTGAGGTCAGAAGACAAGTGTGTTGATACCGATGCTGCAACTGATGTCGGTTGTGACGTAGATGCTGCTGATGGTTCGGAGAAGGATGCGGCGCATGCGGATGATAGTAATCCCGGGGGCATACGTGATTGCAGAGAGCTGGAAATGCAAATCTCCAACAGTTAGTTCCCGAAACAGATTACATGCACAAGCCACGCCCAACATGTTTGCCTCCCTTTCCCTGAGGGTCCATGTACCCAAATAGTAGATACTTTGGCCCCAAAGTACCTATATAGGGACTACTTTTAGGCCTATGTATATACTATTTGGGTACATGGACCCTTAGGGTTTGTGAGCCCTTTCGAGCCAGCCAAAACCGAGAACTGCAAACCAACTTCGAGCCTTGAGGCGGCCCGGCATGCCCGGCACGTCCTAGCTTTAGGGTGAAAGGGTGTCAGGGTTTTAGGGTGAAAGGGTGTCAGGGTTTTAGGGCTATAAGGGCGTCAGGGTTTTAGGGTTATAAGGGTGTCAGCGTTTTAGGGTGAAAGGGTGTCAGGGTTTTAGGGTTCAGGGCGTCAGGTTTTTAGGGTTATAAGGGTGTCAGCGTTTTAGGGTGAAAGGGTGTCAGGGTTTTAGGGTTCAGGGCGTCAGGGTTTTAGGGTTATAAGGGTGTCAGCGTTTTAGGGTGAAAGGGTGTCAGGGTTTTAGGGTGAAAGGGTGTCAGGGTTTTAGGGTGAAAGGGTGTCAGGGTGTTAGGGTGAAAGGGTGTCAGGGTTTTAGGGTGAAAGGGTGTCAGGGTTGACCACGCAAGCTTAGCATCACTGTGACCTACACGCAGCTCCTGTGCTCGCATGATCAATGATACTGGTATCAGATTTCGGGCGACACTGCGACTATCTGTTTTCATGGTGTGCTCAAGAGACTCCGTAAGCCTGTGGGAACTTCAGAGTCAAAGCTGGGGTTTGTGCAGCGCACGAAATTCGAAAGCCATGCTACATCATGCTGCTTTCTGGCCTGCTGTACTTCAACCGCAAGGTTGTTCCGGATAATGGTCAGTAAACGCTGGTGCGAATGACATCGCCGGCTCCCCGAGCCGAAGCGGCAAGTAAAGAAGGTTCGTTTGATGCCTTCGATTTGGCACGAAAGCCCGTGTGGTTTGTGCGAGCG